GTCGAGGGAGGGAGGGAGGGAAGAGAGCGGAGGGAAGGGGTCGGAGGAGCGAGAGGGCGAGATACGGCGAGGTGCAAGGAGCAGAAACGAGGTGGAAGGGGGGGGGGGGCACCACATCGTGCCGTGCGCAATCGGAATAGGGAGCTGCGTACACTTTTTTTGGTCTGCGGGGCGAGAGCGAACCTCTTCCGATAAAAGCTAGGCGGGCTACGCAAAGCTCTAATTGGGGAGACAGGGCACAGGCGGGCGGGGCCTCAGGCGAGGGAGCTGCGTACGCGCAGAGGGGCCCAAGAGGCCAATGTCATCGAAACCCCTTCTCTGCTGCACGACTCCAGTCGTCGTCGCCACGTGCAGGGATCGGGCCCAACCCCGCTCAACCCGTGGCCCGAAACAGCAACGACAGCAACAACAAAAAGAGGTGTCGGCGGATGTGGCATAAGCCAAGATAATCATGATCCTCATCCTCGTCCTCATCATCCTCGTCGCCACAACCACGACCATCGTCACCATCGACATCCCCATCATCGTCATCATCATCACCACCACCACCATCATCATCATCATCGTCATCATCACCATCAGCAGCAGCACCATCATCATCATCATCATCATCATCATCATCATCATCATCATCATCATCATCAACATCAACATCAACATCAACATCAACATCATCATCAGCAGCAGCATCATCATCAGAATCATCAGAATCATCAGAATCATCATGATCATTATAGTTATTCTCATCCTCATCCTCATTATCCTCATCATCATGATCAGCATCATCATCATCAGCAGCATCATCATCAACGGCATCAGCATCATCATAATCATTATCAGTAGCATCGTCATCGTCATAGTCATCGTCATCATCATCCATCATCATGAGTATCATCATCAGCATCATCATCATTATCACCAGCATCATCATCATCAGCATCATCATCATCATCATCATCATCATCATCATTATCATTCTCATTATCACAACCATGAACACCAACACCATCTCCATCTCCATCATCATCAGCAGCAGCATCATCATCAGTATCATCATAGTCGTCGTCGTCATCAGCATCACCATCATCGCCATCACCATCACAATCACCATCACCATCACCACCACCATCACCATCACCATGTCCATCATCATCAACATCGTCAGCATCATCACCAGCATCATCATCATCATCGTCGTCATTAGTATCATCCTCATCAGCCGCATCATCATCGTCGCCATCGTCATCAGCATCATAAGCAACAACATCACCGCCACCATCATCGTCGTCATCACCAGCAGCATTATCGTTCGCCAGCAGATTCACCATCATCATCACTGATGAGCATCACCATCAAGTAATCACCATCGTCATCGTCATAATCATCGTCGTAATCATCAGCATCATCAGCAGCAGCAACACCAGCATCATCTTACCAATCATCACCCTGATCATCACCCTGGTCATCACCCTGGTCATCATTATGAATCTAATTTGCATCAGCAGCATTGATCCGTCATTGGTCTTCCCTATTTCATCATCATTTGTTGGGTTGTGTGTCTATCCTCTTCATCCTCCTCGTCATCGCCACCATCACCATCAATATTACCATCACCATCATCATCATGATCATCATGATCGTCATCATCGTCATCGTCATCGTCATGATCAGATTCATCATCCACCTCATCGTCATCATCGTCATCATCATTAGCATCATCACCATCATCATCGTTATCGTCCTGATCAGCATTTCCATGCCCCTGCCGCACCACTGGATGTTTCGGTAGAGCAGTCCGAGTGCTTCGCCTGACGGCTTCACCAATTATAGTCCAGAGTCTTCAAGGTCCATATAGGTACATGGATAGAAGGCAGACCTTTTTAAATATGGGTATGTCTCATTAGCACCGCGCATAGTTGCTATCGAACTATGCCACAGTTCCAAGGCGGGAGGGCCGCTCTTTTCCTAAATGTCATTCAACATATGAGCGTATGCGAAATATGTTTGTCATTCGTCGCTTTGCGATCGCATGGAGATAAGAAGAATGACAAGATGGGTATGGCCAGGATCGGTGTCGGTGTATAGCTGCCGTTGCAAATTAGATTGAATCGTATTCATGTCGAAAGGGATTGGCCCACATCATAATGAGCTAAGCCAGACGGCAATGTGAGCGTTTTCGAATTCGGCGTTTCGGCATTGGGTGGAAGGAGTGGAGGGGGGGGTCTGGCTCTGGACCTCTGCTTCATGCGGATATTTGGAACAGTGCGTCCTCTGGGGGAGACTCCACCTGCTCGAAACAGACGCCCAAAACAGCCAAGATATAGACCATGGGGGGGGGAGGGGGGGAGAGGACCCGCGCCGATCGGCAAAATAATGAAGAAAACAACGATCACAATACCAGGGTCTATGTTTGGTTCACCCTCCAAGGAGTTGCAACCTCGTGGAGTCTGCTCTGCCAGGCCTTCCAAGAGGCCCCCCCGCGTTCTAGAGAACTGCCGCCCAGCGCTCCAACTTGACCCGCTCCTCGAGCGGCGTCCGCCCGTGGCGACGAGTGGGCGAGAGGCGCCATGATCCTGCGGGCTGAACCTCCTGGAGGTCATAGATGCCTCCTAAATGAGGTCGGAGCAGATGGGGTCGGAGGATCGCGCCGCATGGCCCATACATTGGCGATGCATCGGTGATGCATCGGCGGTGCATCGGCAACGTCGGCGTGAGGCACATCGGGCTCCGCATCGAGCCGCATCGTCGGTGCATCGGCGATGCGGCGCGATCCTCCGACCCCGTCTGCTCGGACCCCACCTGGGAGGCCTATAGAGGTCAGGAGGGAGGGGCAGAGAGCGGCGAGAGGTCCTCCGGCGAAGACGCACACGCGCGCCAAGGCCAGGATGGGCCGGGGACGCGCTGGCCCGGGTCACCGCAGAGCCAGGCCGAGTCCACCGACGCCGATCACGGATCAGCTCCCAGACCAGGGCCCGCGGAGGGGGGGGGGGGGCTTGGCTCAAGATGGCTGTCAAGCCCGGGCCAGCCAGAGGATCTCGGAGGGAACCGGCTGCAAGTCGGGCCTGTCCCCCTACAGGGGGATTTTCGACGAACAATAAAAAATACTCCAAAGATAATCAAAAAATAATCCAAAAATAGTCCGGGGACTACTTTTGGGGTATTTTTGTTGCCTTTTGGGGGTACTTTTAGGCTATTCTTCATTTTTCGTCGCGATTGTTCCCATGCGCGGACCCAGAGGTCCCGACCTCTTCCCCGGCGTCCCAGCTCTGTGTGCTCCATGGTCCTGGGGGCCCGACGCTGGCCCCCCGAGGCGGGGACTCGGGAAGAACGCTGGACTTGACACAGCAGCTGGCCCACGGTGGGAAGACCAGGAGGTATCGATACCGCTGCTCCCCCGACCTCTCCCGGGGGTGCGCTCGGACCAAAGTCGGGGAAGCGAGCCCAGCGGTGGCGACGAGGTCCTCCCCGGAGGCCCAAAGAGGCGGACACGAGGGAGGGGTAGCGGTATGGGACCCACGTCGGCGCTGAGCCCCCTGACTCCTCCTCCTCCTTCTCCTCCTCCCTCCTCCTCCCTCCTCTTCCTCCTCCCTCCTCTCCCTCCGTCCTCCTCGGTCTCCCTCCTCCTCCTCCTCCTCCTCCTCCTCCTCCTCCTCCTCCTCCTCCTCCTCCTCCTCCTCCTCCTCCTCCGCCGACTCGGACGTCTGGGACCCCCGTCGGCGCCGACCCCCACGCTGCGTGAGGCCACAGGGGCGGGGGGGCGGGATGGCGCCGACCACGGGGCCTCCGGCCGCGCGGGGCTGCACCCAAAGGAGGGCTCGGGGCGCGGGCTCGAGCGAGGGGTGGCTGCGGGAGGGCGACGCGGGGGAGGGGGGGGGCAGAGGAGAGCACGGGGACGGGGAGGGCGAGCGAGGGGGAAGGGGGGGGAGGAAGACGGAGGGAGGAGGGGGGAGGAGGGGCCAAGAGGGAGGAGGAAGTGGGAGGATTGGGGAGGAGCAGGGAGGAGGAGGAGGAAGAGGAGGAGAGAGAGAAGGAGGGAGACGGAGGAGGACGGAGGGGGGAGAGGAGGGAGGATGGAGTGAGGAAGGAGGAGGGAGTGAGGAAGGAGGAGAAAGGAGGAGGAGGGACAAGGAAAAGGAGGAGGTGGAGGGAGGAGGAGGAGGAGGAGAAGGAGGAGAAGGAGAAGGAGGAGGAGGAGGAGGAGGAGGAGAAGGAGGAAGAGGAGGAGGAGAGAGGGGGGAGGAGGCAAGCTAGGTGCGCTCGCGACACATATTACATCAAACCCTCCCACCCTACCCTTGCCAACGGGTGTCGTAGAGGACCTGGAACACCCCAGAGGACCCCGTCGTGTCACGCGCAGTCTGACAAGGGAAGCTGTGTGCACTGGAGGAGGAGGTGACTGATGAGCAGGAGGACGAGTAAGAAGAAGAGCAGAAGGAGGAAGGAGAAGGACGAGGAGGAGCTGCAGCATCAGGAGAAGGAGGAGCGGCAGGAGCAGGAGGACCAGGGGAAGGCGGGGTAGGGGAAAAGGAGAGGGCGACAGTGATGAGGAAGCACTCGGATCCAGAAGTGTGGCCCGCGCTGCGGCGAGAACGCTGCTCTGAACGACGGGAGCACAGCGCACGAGAACATTCGGATCGGTAAAGCACGGAAGAAGGAAGAAGCCGGGCCAATATCGTGGAAAAGGCATAGGGCCGAGGGGGGCGCGCCAATCTCGGGCCGTCCTCGGGGGGGAGAGGCGAGCGGGATCCATATGGCACAGCTGTGGAGGAGAAGACGAGGAGAGGAAGAGAGGGGGATGAAGAAGGGGATGGGGAGAAGGAAAAAAAAACAATGGTGACGACTACGGGGGAGCCACAGGTGCCGATACCGCTACTCCGCGGACCTCTCCTGGGGTGCCTTCTGACCAGCACTTCGAGGCGAATACAGCGGTGGCGACGAGGACCTCCCAGGAAGCCCAGAAAGGCGAAATCCAGGGAAGGGTAGGGGTAGGGGTACTTTCTCTCCCTTCGAGAGTAAGGGTACTTTCTCTCCCTTCGAGGGGGCGAGCCGTTCACCAGAGAGGAACAGCTGCAGCGCCGCTGCGGCCGCGGGCCCAATGCTGGCGCGCGCTCGCGCCTACGAGGGCCTTACAGCGACGCCAGAGAGAACCCTGGCGGGCACGGTGCTGCAATGGCACGAACGGCCTGGAGTAACGCCTGCGGACGGAAAGGACGAGGAGGAAATGGAGTTGGAGAAGGAGGAGGAGGAGGAGGAGGAGGATAAAAGGGAAAGGAAGAGGAGGAGGAGGAGGAGGAGGAGGAGGAGGAGGAGGAGGAGGAGGAGCAGCAGCAGCAGGAGCAGGGGGAGAGGGAGGGAAGCGAACAGGAGGAGGAGGACGAGGAGGAGGAGGAAGAGGACAAGGACAAATACCGACACCACGCGAGGGCGCCCCTGCTGGAAGAGGCGTGGAGCCAGGCCTACGACGACGCTGTGCTCGGGCACCTGAAGGAGCTCGTCGGCCAACCCCTTACTGCCGACGCGCGCGAGCAGGCTCCTTTAGCCCCTGACAGAAGGCGGGCCTGGGCTGTCGGTCTTCGCGGGGGCGTGGCAGGCGTGCTTGCATGGCGTCTGCGCTGAGCTGGGGCTGACCAGCCTGGAGGCTTTCACGCAGGCCTGCCACAGGGCGTGGGCCGCCGCGGGGGGCGCAGGCCGAGCACTGCAGCAGGGCGCTCTACCCTGGCTCGCGGCCGCGGAGGAGCCCGCGCGGCAGGCGCAGCGCACCCCCTCGGCAGCGGAGCAGCAGGCTCGGAGGCAGCGGTTGCTGGACACCCTGCCGCCAGGCCAGGCCGCGCTGGTGCGGTCGGCAGGTGGGATAGGCGCCAGCAGCTGGCTACTGCCACCGACGCCAAAAAACCACTGCCCCGCCGACGCGCACTTCAGACTAGCGTTCGCCCTCCGCTTGCGCCTGCCCCAACCAGACGCCGCCAGCGCCGTTTGCCTCCGCTGCTGGCCCAACGGCGCGAAGTGCGGAGCGGACTTGGTAGCCAACCCGGGCCACGCGGTCGACTGCAATGTGGGCGGCGGGGCCATCGCGCGCCACAACGGCGTGCGAGAGTGACTCGCGGGCTGGCTGCGCGCCCAAGCGGCCACGGGGGTGGCGACCGAGCAGGACGCCCCCGCTTGGGACAGCGCCGGGCCTCACAGCACCTCGGAGGCCGCGCGGCTCGACGTGGATTTCACCGACCCGACCGCCGGCCTGGCGTACGCCGACGTCGTGGTCACAAACGCGGCGCTGGGCGCCCGCACCGCGGCGGGCCGGAGCCGCGCTGTCCGCGACGGCGCGGCTGCAGCGGCAGCGGAGGAGCGCAAACACAGGCGCTACCCTGGCCCCAGGCTGACAGCCTTCGCCCTCGAGACCCTCGGGCGGGCAGGGCTAGAAGCGCAGGCGCTGCTCCGGACCTGGGCGCGCGGGGACGCAGAGGCACTCGCGGCGGCCCGGCACAGCCTTGCTGTGACTTTGCACCGGGGCAACGCCGAGGCCTACCGCGCGGCCTGCCTACCCGCGCGAAGACCGCCCCGCAGGGTGGATGGGGCCGACAGCGCGGGGGCTGGGCCGCCCCGCTGGGTGGCTGGGCACGGCGTGGGCGCTGGGCCAGCTGCCCACCGCGCCCGGCACGCTTGAGCGGGCACCGCGGCGCGGCCTCCCTTCGGGGGAAGGCGCTGGCCAGCGGGCGGCCCTGCGGACTGGGCCAGCTCCCAGCTCTCGCTCCTCCCCCCTCGTCTTCTAGCGCTGATGCCTGCTTGTCTCCCCACCAACCTGTGAACCAGGCTGGTTTTTCCCCCGCTCCTCCCCCTGCTCCCCCCCTCTTTTCCCGCTCCGTGCCTCTGGCGGGCGCGCGCGCGCCTCAGGGAGGGGTCTGGCGGCGCACACCTCCCCGCCGCGAGCCCATCTCATCCGCCTTCCGGTTCCTTCTGGCTCTCTCCTCCCTCCTCCCTCTCCTCTCTCTCCCCCTAGCCCTTCCAGCTGCTCTCGCCAGCTGCGCCGGCTCGGGCACGCGGTGGCGGAAGTGGCCGGTGGGTCGTGTCGTGTCTCGCTGGCGCCACCCGCCTCTGCCCGAGTCGGTTCTGTCTCCTGGTCAGGAGTGCCTCGCCCCCTGCTGCTGTTTGCTGGCCCGCCTCTGTCCTCTGCCCTTCCTTCTGCTGCGGGAGGAGGAGGAGGTGGAGAACGAGGAGGAGGAGGAGGAGGATGAAACGGATGAGAAGGAGACGGAAAAGCAGGGGGAGAGGGAGGGGAGCGAAGAGGGGGAGGAGAAGAACGAGGAGGGGAAGGAGGAGGAGGAGGAGGAGGAGGACAAGGACAAGGACAAGGACAAGGACAAGGACAAGGACAAGGACAAGGACAAGGACAAGGACAAGGACGAGTAGGGGGGCGAGTACGTGAGGAGAGGGTGAGGAAAAGAGGAAAGGCGAGGAGGAATAGGAGATAGGCGGGGGAGGGAGGGGAGCATGATTCCACAAATCCGCGACACCACGCCAAGACTGAAACCGGGCCAGGGACCCAGGGGAGGACGAGGAGAAGGAGCGGAGGTGCCCCGATATCCCCCCGGCGTGGTTCTCGTCCCGACTCGGCTCGTGACGGTCCCAAGGCCCGGCGAGGGCACCTGGAGACCCGCACATGGGCAAGCAAGTTTCGTCGCAATCTGCTCGGAACGACGGAACGACGGGATCTCGGGGTGGAGGGGGGGGGGGGGGCGGGTGCTTCGTCCGAGGTGGACGCTCGCTCGCGTGATTCGCCCGCCCCCTGGTAACCCCCGCCGCGAGCCTCTGGCGCGGCAGGGAACGGCGCAGTCACGAGACCAGGACGAAAATTTTGAGAACGGCAGCCTCAGATCCCTGCCACACTCCCGCTGTGGGAAAAATCACGACGAAAAGTGTTTGCTAATTTTCAGCCTCTGGGGGCCCTCGCCGGGCCCCATGACCTTCAAAAAACAGCTCAGGATAAAAAGCCGGTCCAGGGGCAGGGGTCCAGACCACCAGGGAACCACGCTGCGGAAAGAGCGCAACGAAAAAGCACAACGACGGATGTCTGGGATCGCCCAAAAAACCAAGTGCTCCAATGATGAATTCTCGCTTTTGCGCCCCCGATGAGGCATTAGGACGACCCCATATCGGGCCCAGGAGAGCGAGCACCTCAAGAAGGCCCCAAGAGGACCCTCACAGGAACTTTCTGGCCAAGACAGGGGAGCTTCATTTGGGGGGGCGTTTCCTTTGTTTGCCCAGGGAGGGCCTTCAAGCCCCGTAGAAGGCCCCAAAAGAGTTCCAAGAACTCCCAAACGCCTCAAAATGGCCCCAATATTGCCGCCATAAGGATCCGAGAGCCTCCAAAAGTTCCTAGGCCAGCCATGTTCAGGGGCTGCTCGGGCTGACTCTCCCGCGCTGGCTTTGACCATCCGGCGCGACCTCTGCAAAGGCCTGCACGTTGGACTCCTGGGTCAGCTCATGCTGATCCCAAGCCTTGGTTTGCCCCGCCTCACTGTGCCACGAAAGGCCGCTTGCACCCCTGCATTACTGGAGTCTGTGTGCTCGTACAGGTTCGAGCTATCAGGGCCCAACTCATTTGCGTGGGGATCTCGTATCCTGCAATTGGCATAGGGGCGCGCTCTTGAGCGCCCCACCTCCTGGGCTAGCTAGCCTTCCAAGCGAATGGGTCAGCATCTGGTCGATCGCACCACTGGGTTTTCTCAGCACCGCAGTGCAAAGCGCAAGAGAAGCGGGACATGGCAATACGTTGCTCGTGGCGGGCACAAACTTCACCACGTGGCCTGACGCGTGCTACACTTCTCGGCGGGTGCTGTTTCTTCTCTCTTGGACACCCGAGTAGGTTACGGAAGGATGGGTACGATGCCCAGCAACAAACGTTGTCCAAGACCGACAGCGGCCACTGTTGGGCAGGCAGCCTTGTGTCTCAAGTGGACAACGCACGCTGCAGCACCGACAGCAAGCCCTGCTCAGAATGGACAGGAAGCGGAGGTGCCGTCGACCTTCGTCGTACCTACAGTGAGCGCGTACAGTGAGGACGCACGAGAAGGATGCCAGGGCCTGGAAGGGGCCACTTCGACACCCCTCGAGCGGGGCGTGGCCGGCGAAGAGGACCAAGAAATGAGCCGAAGCGGAAGGATGCCAGGACAACCTTGCAGAGCCTGGAGGCCTGGAAATGGGCACCAACACCAATACCAGAGGTTGCCTCCACGCGAGGAAGATGATCCTGGATTTTGGTGTTGGTGGTAATCTTTCGGCCGCCTAGGAAGCCCGAATAGTACCACCATCACCGAGATCGGGATCTTCCTTCCTCGGTGGAGGCACACCGCCGATGTTGGTGTTGGTGTCAACCTCTAGGCCTGCGAGTTCTTGCTGTGCGCTCTGACCACAGGTCTCTCCGCACCCGTCTCGACATCGCACGGACCTCTCTCTCTCCTGCCCGCCGAAGTCACGCGCGGCGGGGGCCCGGCCCTCCGCACGCTCCCGGGCGGGGGGGCGCCCCGCGCGCGGAGAAGAGGACGGGCCCGCGGGCCCTCGGGTGCTGCAGGACGGGTGCCCCAGGGGCCCGACCGGGGCCCTCCTCTCGGCGGTGGACAAACCTCCCTTTCGTAAACCTCCCTCTAGTGAAAACGGCCTGGGAGCGGAACCGATGGACCTGGACCCGCAAAAAGTAACGGCCGTGGCGCCCTCTCGCGAACCGAAGACGGCCAATTCCTGAATCAACGCGTCAGGGTAGGAGGTCTATCCACCCCCGATTCTCCACGAGGCTCGCGAGCCTCGGGTGCTGCAGGAGGTGCCCATGGGCCCGACCGGGGCCCTCCTCCACGAGCAATGACGAGGCGGGGCCAGAGCCTCGTCGCCCTCCTCGACGGCCGGAGGCCGCTCCCCAGGAGGTGGCGACATCTGTGCCCCGACCCCACTGGCCCTCGAGTCCCCTGATGGGAGGAGGCTGGCTGGCTCTGCATTGGGCCTCGGGTTGATGAGTGCAACCGCTGAAACACATCAGACGCAAGCAGGCGAGATGTACGACCATGGGAGGAGGAGGAGGATCTCGCCACGCGTCCCAAGAACTCCGAGCCCTGCCCCTGCCGCCGACCGCGTTGCCCAAGTCATTGATTGGCGACGGGTTCGGGATTCGCCACCGCTCCAGGCCCCAAGGGGCCCGCGGCTCGGAAAAAACTCAGCTCGTCGTCGTCGTCGTCGTCGTCGTCGTGATCGTGGTCGTGGTCAGCGTGGTCGTCGTGCTCGTCGTCGTCGTGATCGTCGTGGTCGTCGTCATCGTGGTGGTGGTCGTCGTCGTCGTGGTCGTCCGTGGTCGTCGTGGTCGTCGTCGTCGTGGTCGTCGTCGTCGTCGCCATCGTGATCGTCGTCGTCAACGTTGTGGTCGTCGTCGTCGTCGTGGTCATGGCCGTGGACGTGGTCGTCGTGGTCGTCGTCGTCGTGGTCGTCGTCGTCGTCGTGGTCGTCGTCGTCGTGGTCGTCGTGGTCGTCGTGGTCGTCGTCGTCGTCGTGGTCGTCGTGGTCGTCGTCGTCGTGGTCGTCGTGGTCGTCGTGGTAGTCGTCGTCGTCGTAGTCGTCGTGGTCGTCGTCGTGATCGTCGTCGTGGTCGTCGTCGTCGTCATCATCGTGGTCGTCGTCGTCGTCGTCGTCGTGGTCGTCGTGGTCGTCGTCGTCGTAGTGGTCGTCGTCGTCGTCGTGGTCGTCGTGGTCGTCGTCGTCGTCGTGCTCGTCGTGGTCGTCGTGGTCGTCGTGGTCGTCGTGGTCGTCGTGGTCGTCGTGGTCGTCGTGGTCGTCGTGGTCGTGGTCGTCGTCGTCGTCGTCGTGGCCGTCGTCGTCGTCGTCGTGGTCGTCGTGGTTGTCGTCGTCGTCATCGTCGTCGTGGTCGTCGTCGTCGTGGTCGTCGTGGTCGTCGTCGTGGTCATCGTCGTCGTGGTCGTCATCGTCGTCATGGTCGTGGTCGCGGTGGTGGTCGTCGTGGTCGTCGTGGTCGACGAGGTCGTCGTCGTCGTTGTCGTCGTGGTCGTCGTCGTGGTCGTCGTCGTCGTCGTGGTCGTCGTGGTCGTCGTCGTCGTCGTGGTCGTCGTCGTCGTCGTGGTCGTCATGGTCGTGGTGGTCGTCGTGGTCGTCGTGGTCGTCGTGGTCGTCGTGGTCGTCGCCGTCGTCGAGGTCGTCGTCGTCGTCGTCGTCATCGTGGTCGTCGTGGTCGTCGTGGTCGTCGTGTCGTCGTCGTCGTGGTCGTCGTGGTCGTCGGTCGTCGTAGTCGTCGTGGGTCGTCGTGGTCGTCGTCGTGTCGTCGTCGTCGTCGTCGTCGTCGGTCGTCGTGGTCGTCGTGGCCGTCGTCGTCGTCGTCGTGGTCGTTGTGGTCGTCGTCGTCGTCGTGTTGCCGTCGTCGTCGTGGTCGTCGTCGTCGTAGTGGTCGTCGTGGTCGTCGTCGTCGTCGTGGTTGTGGTCGTGGTCGTGGTCGTCGTCGTCGTGGTCGTCGTGGTCGTCGTGGTCGTCGTCGTCGTCGTGGTCGTTGTCGTCGACATCGAGGTCGTCGTCGTCGTCGTGGTCGTGGTCGTGGTCGTCGTGGTCGTCGTGGTCGTCGTCGTCGTCGTGGTCGTCGTCGTAGTCGTCGTCGTCGTCGTGGTCGTGGTCGTCGTGGTGGTGGTCGTCGTCGTCGTGGTCGTCGCCGTCGTCTTGGTCGTCGTGGTCGTCGTGGTCGTCGTCGTGGTCGTCGTCGTCGTCATCGAGGTCGTCGTCGGCGTTGCCGTGGTCGTCGTCGTCGTCGTGGTCGTCGTGGTCGTCGTTGTCGACGTCGTCGGCGTCGCCGTGGTTGAGGTCGTGGACATGGTCGTCGTCGCCGTCGTCGTGGTCGTCGTCGTCGTCGTCGAGGTCGTCGTGGTCGTCGTCGTCGTGGCCGTCGTCGTCGTGGTTGTCGTCGTCGTCGTGGTCGTGGTCGTCGTTTTGGTCGTCGTCGTTGTCGTGGTGGTCGTGGCCGTCGTCGTGGTCGTCGTGGTCGTCGTGGTCGCCGTCGTCGTCGCCGTCGTCGTCGTCGTGGTCGTGGTCGTCGTCGTGGTCGTCGTGGTCGTCGTCGTCGTCGTCGTCGTGTCGTCGTCGTGGTGGTCGTCGTCGTGGTCGTCGTCGTCGTCGTAGTCGTCGTCATCGTGGTCGTGTCGTGGTCGTCATCGTAGTCGTCGTCGTGGTCGTGGTCGTCGTCGTCGGTCGTCGTCGTCGTCGTGGTCGTCGTGGTCGTCGTCGTCGTCATCGTGGTCGTCGTGGTCGTCGTCGTCGTGGTCGTCGTGGTCGTCGTCGTCGTGGTGGTAGTCGTCGTCGTCATGGTAGTCATCGTCGGCGTCGTCGTCGTGATCGTCGTGTGGTCGTCGCCGTCGTCGTGGTCGTCGTCGCCGTCGTGGTCGTCGTCGTCGTCACCGTGGTCGTCGTGGTCGTCGTGGTCGTCGTGGTCGTCGTCGTCGTGGTCGTCGTGGTTGTCGTCGTCATCGTCGTCGTGTGGTCGTCGCGGTCTTCGTGGTCGTCGTGGTCGTCGTGGTCGTCGTGGTCGTCGTCGTCGTGGTCGTCGCGTTCGTCGTGGCCGACGTCGTCGTCGTCGTGCTCGTTGTGGTCGTCGTCGTCGTCGTGATTGTCGTCGTCGTCGTGGTCGTCGTCGTCGTAGTGGTCGTCGTGGTCGTGGTCGTCGTCGTGGTCGTGGTCGTGGTCGTGGTCGTCGTCGTCGTGGTCGTCGTGGTCGTCGTGGTCGTCGTCGTCGTGGTCGTCGTCGTCGTCGCCATCGTGATCGTCGTCGTCGTGGTCGTGGTCGTGGTCGTCGTGGTCGTCGTCGTCGTCGTCGTGGTCGTCGTCGTCGTCGTGGTCGTCGTCGTCGTGGTCGTCGTCGGCGTCGTGTCGTCGTCGGCGTCGTCGTGGTCGTCGTCGTGGTCGTCGTCGCCGTGATCGTCGTCGTCGTCCTGGTCACCGTCGTCGTCGTCGTCGTGGTCGGCGTCGTGGACGTCGTCGTGGACGTCGTCGTGGTCGTCGTGGTCGTCGTGGACGTCGTGGTCGTCGTCGTCGTGATCGTGGTCGTGGTCGTCGTCGTGGTCGTCATCGTCGTCGTGTCGTCGTCGTCGTCGTGGGTCGTCGTGTCGTCGTGGTCGTCGTGATAGTCGTCGTCGTCGTCGTGGTCGTGTGTCGTCGTCGTCGTCGTCGTCGTGGTCGTCGTGGTCGTCGTCGTCGTCGTGGTCGTCGTCGTCGTGGTCGTCGTGGTCGTCGTGGTCGTCGCGTCGTCGTCGTGTCGTGGTCGTCGTCGTCGTGGTCGTCGTGGTCGTCGTGGTCATCGTCCTCGTCGCCGTCGTCGTCGTCGTCGTCGTCGTCGGCGTCGTCGTGGTCGTGGTCGTGGTCGTGGTCGTGGTCGTTAAAATCGCCGTCGCCGTGGTCGTGGTCGTGGTCGTGGTCGTGGTCGTGGTCGTCGTCGTCGTCGTGGTCGTCGTGGTCGTCGTGATCGTCGTGGCCGTCGTCGTCGTCGTCGTCGTCGTCGTCGTCGTGGTCGTGGTCGTGGTCGTGGTCGTGGTCGTGGTCGGCGTCGTGGTCTTGGTCGTGGTCGTCATCGTCGTGGTCGTCGTGGTCGTCGTCGTCGTCGTCGTCGTGGTCGTCGTCGTCGTCGTCGTCGTCGTCGTCGTCGTGGTCGTCGTGGTCGTCGTCGTCGTCGTCGTGGTCGTCGTCGTCGTCGTCGCCGTCGTCGTCGTCGTGGTCGTCGTGGTCGTCATCGTCGTAGTCGTCGTCGTCGTCGTGGTCGTCGTGGTGGTCGTCGTCGTCGTGGTCATTGTGGTCGTCGTCGTCGACGTCGTCGTCGTGGTCGTCGTGGTCGTCGTGGTCGTGGTCGTGGTCGTCGTCGTCGTCGTCGTGGTCGTGGTCATGGTCATGGTCGTGGTCGTCGTCGTCGTCAGTCGTGGTCGTCGCCGTCGTCGTGGTCGTGGTCGTCGTCGTGGCCGTGGTCGTCATCGTCGTGGTCGTGGTCGTCGTGGTCGTCGTGGTCGTCGTGGTCGTGGTCGTGGTCGTGGTCTTGGTCGTGGTCGTCGTCGTGGTCGTCGTCGTCGTCATCGTCGTCGTCGTGGTCGTCATGGTCGTCGTCGTCGTGGTCGTCGTCGTCGTCGTGGTCGTGGTCGTGGTCGTCGTCCTCGTCCTCGTCCTCGTTCTCGTCCTCGTCGTCGTCCTCGTCCTCGTCGGCGTCGTCGTCGTGGTCGTCGTGGTCGTCGTGGTCGTCGTCGTCGTAATCGTCGTCGTCGTCGAGAGCCCCAAGGCTTCCCCTCGGAGAGGCCCGTGGCTGCCTCCGCCCCGAGGGGGGAGGAGGAGGAGGAGGAGGGAGGAAGACGAGGGAGGAAAGATCGTACGCTCCTCCTCCTCTTCCTCCTCCTCCTCTACCTCTTCCTCCTCCTCTACCTCTTCCTCCTCCTCCTCCTCCTCCTCCTCCTCCTCCTCCTCTTCCTCATCCTCCTCCTTCTCTTTCTCATCCTCCTTCTCCTTCTCCTCCTCCTCGAGGGCGTGGCCACCCAAAATGCCCCCCGCGAGGCCCAGGGAGGCCCAGAAAGGGGGACGGAATGCAGCAGGGGACACGTCGGCCCAGGGGCACACCCGTCCGCACGCGAGGAGAGGCAGAACAGGCAGCAGAGACCCTTCTGGCCCTGCCTGACTTTGCGCGCCACCAATTCTCGTGGCAGGAGGGGGGGGACCTGCAATCAGCGCCCCTCTAACGGGGACTCCACTAACGGTCACTTTGGCCAGTGACCCGGCGAACCCAACCCTCCCCGATGTGGGCAACGCTGCAATGCCCGAAAGAGGCCCTAAAGTGGCAACTTTCGGCAAATCCCCGAAGTACCCGTTAGTGAGTACCAGTTGCGGTGCCGCTGATGCAAATACAAGCAGGACGCGCCGGAGGCGCAAGGGATATTTGACGCCGTCGCGGCAGATGCAGAGCCCGTGTGCTTCGAGGGACAGCTGAAACACATCACGCCATGTCCGTCCCCATGTTGCTCTGTGTTGCCTAGAAGTATGCACCTGTTATCTGATCTGTGCCCGCCACCGTGCCACTAGGCACTAAGTGGAGTGTCCTCAGGTCCCTTCGAGCTCTCTGTATTGAGAAATATAATATAAAATTCGTTGAACGGTCAAGAGCCACAAGGAGTGGATTTCTTAGGGTCGTTCCGCGTGACTCATGGGGCGTGTCGAGTGACTTCTCCTGAAGCAGAAAGCTCCAAGACGGGCAAAGAAGCTCCCAAGAGCCAAGAGGGCCCAAGGACGGTCCAGGAGGCCTCGATACTGCCCAATAGCGCTTCAAGAAGGCCCAAGAAGCCTCCGAGACGCCCTAAGGAGGCTCCCAAAGGACCCCCCAGAGGGCCCCGAAAAGCCAAAAAGTGTTGACGTTTCTCTGGCGGTTGAAAGGTTTTGGGGTGCTCGCGCCGTCGAAGCTTCAGAGCCACCTGATCAAATCAAAAGGCCCACAGGGGGTCCCAAGACGGTCCAAGGGGGCCCGAAGACGCCCCAAGAAACTTCCACAAAGCCCCAAGAGGGGGCAAGAGGAGGGAATCGAAGACGACCCAAGACGGCCCAAGAGGGTCAAACAAAGACCCCCGATACGGCCCCAAAATGCCAGCGCTCCAAGACGGCCAAAGAAGCCCCAAAAGTCGCCCCAAGGCGGCCTAAGACGCCCCAAAGCGGGCCCCAAGACGGCCCAAGGAGCCCACAAAGCAGCCCCAGGAGGGCCCCAGGACGCGCACGAGAGAGGGAGCCCGAACTGACATTTCGAGCCTTCCCCCAAAAATATCACTCCCGAAACCGCCAGCAGGCCCCCAAGAGGCACCACAGAAGGCCGAGGCCCCCGAAGGCCGCCGAGAGGCCCCCAAGAAGCCCCCAGGCGGCCCCAAGACTTGGCGGCGCGCACAAGGGGGTGGGGGGAGGGGGGAGGGCTTCTTAGAAGGAGGCTGCTCCTTAGAAGGCGCCGGTCTTACATCTATAGAGAAGGCCCGCGCCTTCTAAGAAGCAGGGGTGCTTCTAAGAAGCCCTCCCCCGTCCCCCCACCCCCCTCTGCGCGTGGCCGAAAGACGCCCCCAGTAAGCCCCCAAGATGCACCCAAGAGCCCTACAAGAGGCCCCCCAGAGGCATCCCATGAGACCCTCACATGCAGCCAGGAGGCCTCTATCCCACGACACAGGCACGGTGTCGGGATGGGCCGAGAACCCCTAGTCATATGACATCCGCGGAATGACAAGCTGCAGCCAGAAACATAAATGGTAGACCGCACCCACCCTGTAACTTTATTTGACAGGCGTTGGCTGGGGCCGCAACAGCTTTGGAAAAAGCTCAAAACAATGTGTCTGGAACATGATGGCCATGGCTGTAAGATATCGCCAACCCTCGACGCACAGCACCAATCCAGCATGGGGGACAAGGTCCATCCAAGGAAAGACTATTTCAGGCTGAGCAAATGCCGGTGAAAATGGAAAATGGGCACACGCAACGGCGGCGCTCTTCGGCGCTTCGCCTCAGCGGGTCGTCGGAGAAGTCCTGCGGGCGAGCGCGAAAGGTCCGGCCGATTCGAGATGCTTCTGTAAACGGCACGACGGGCAAGCAGGCTGTGGCTGTGCGCTCCGGATTCAGAGGGGGGGAAGGGCCAGAGGGGGAGGGAAAGCAGGGAGAGGGGCCCTCTTGGGCTGTCTTGAAACCGTTTGAAGGCCCCTCAGGCTGTCGTGGTGCCACCCTGGAGGCCTCTTTGGCCATCTTGAGCCGACGGAAACCCAAAAAGGCGAGAATGCGAACAAGCCCAAACGTTGCGAAAAATTGCAACCTCGCGAAACAGCACGACCAGAGCCCTAAGGCCCAAATGTTCTGCGGCATCTATCCGGAGGCCATCGACCTGTGATGGCCCCGGGGCCCGAGACCAGGCGAACAAGCCCAGTGAATTGATCGATCAAACACCACGAATGCCGAAACCTCTCGAAAACCTAAAATAATCCCCCCCCCCCCAAAAAAATACATAAAAATAAAAACAAAAAAAAAAAAAAAAAAAAAACATGCGGACATCGATCGAAAACCTGAGAGGCAGGGGGGGAGCGAGAGTGATGGCACGGGCGCTGGGTGCGCCCGCGCCACATCTGGCATCCGACCCCTCCCTCCCCTCCCCTCCCGTGGTGCGGACTAGTTGTCCTCTCGCCGGAATGAGTGTCGCGTCTGAACCTTCATGCCTTGGATGGGGGAGGGACGGGGAGGAGGAGCCCGAGGAGGAGGAGTAGGAGGAGGAGGACGACGACTGACGCTAGAAGCTTTCGCTCCGCGGCTTGCCCAAGAAAAGCAGGAGGAGGACGGCGAAGACGTCTCGCACTTCCTTATCCGAACTGGCGGCTGCCTTACCTCGCTTGCCAAGGCCTGAGTCGGCGATAAATATTCCTTGAGGCCAGGCACTGTCTCTCTAGACGCAGCAAGATACAATCTTCATGTCCGATCGACGTCAAAAAGGAGGAGGAGGAGGACGACGACGACGAAGACGACGGGCTGGGGAGGGGAGGGGAGCAGGAGGGCGGAAGAGGAGAGGAAGGGCGCAGGAGCGCCAGCGACGCGAGGAGGCGAGGCAGGACGAGGCCCCGAGGGGGCGGCGCGAGAGGCGGGGCGGAGGGCGGGCGCCCGCGCGCGGAGAGAGAGAGAGAGCACCCCCGAGGCCGCCGAGGGCCGCCGAGGGCCGCCGAGCGCATGCGGAGACTGCAAAAACTTCGAGCCTCGAGGCCTCGGGGGCGGCCAAGGAGGGGGGGGGTCCACAGGGGGGGGGGGGGCGCAGAGCATGGCCGGCGGCAGGTGCGCGGCCCAGGGGGGGGGCCGGGGATGCACGGAGAGAAGAGGGGGCGCCATGAGATCTGGAAAGATAGCATGGCCCCCGCCATGGTATCCACACATACACCCCTAATCGTCACCCCCCTCTTTGCCGCCCCCGACCCTCTGCAGAGAGCCAGCGCTCCAACAAAAAAATCGGGGATGGACAGAACCCCCTTTAAACGTGGTTTAGTGAAAACGACCTCTGGCCCAAACCTGGCGGGCGCCAGCCTGGAAAATGACGGCCGCGGCGCCCTCTCGAAAACCGACAACGGACAATTCACTGATCGACGTGTCAGGGTGGGGACTCTATCCACCCCCGAACAAAAATTGGGGCGGGCGGTTGGGGGCTGTCTTCGGCCTCCTGGGGGCCCTCGCCGGACCCTGCTCGAACTTCGGACCCCAAACCTCGAACCTCGAAGCCCCCGACGCTCCAAAAAGATTGGGGCGGGCGGTTTCTGGGTGTTTTCGGCCTCCCGGGGCCCTCGGCGGACCCAAGGACCGCCCAAAAACGCCCCAGAACGAACATGCAGGCCCAGGGAGACACGGGGAGATAGGGCGGAGAGGCGGGAGACGGCGTCAGAAGGAATTGGCCAGGAGGAGGAGGAAGATGAATGGGGGGAGGAGGAAGGCTGGAGGAGCGTGGAGCGTCATGCAGGTGGCGGTGAACGTGGGTGGATGGCACAGGAGCGGAGGCGTAGATTGCCAAATACCAACATGACAATCCCCTCTACAATTTCGGGGGGGGCCGGGTCCAGATCATGGTCATGGGCGGGCTGTCCCAGCAAGGGAGCAACTGGACCCAGGGAAGCGGTCAAGACCCTGGGGCCCACGCACTGCGAAAATTGGGGCAACCAGGCGTCTGGGCACCCTGGGCCCATCTCCCCTCACGCTGAACCTCTCCCCCATTGATGCACGGTTTCCCCCGGGGCCGTAGGCGGGGGCCGTAGGCGACCCGAGGAGAAGGAGGAGGAGGAGGAGGAGGAGGTGGAAGACGCGGAAGGGGAGGAGATGGAGGAGATGGAGGAGGAGGAGGAGAAGGGAACTTTCCCAAGAGCTCTCCCATTCTGACAGGGTCAGAGCTGCAGGAGGGCTTCGAAGAGGCTTCAAGCAGGGCCAACATGGGCAGGCTCCCCACCTCAGGCCAGCTAGTCCCCACTGGGCGGGGACGCTGGCCCACTGTGGGGAGGCGCGCCTACCAAGCACCTCGGCCGCCCCATTTGAGAGGGCGGCCGTTCGAAACTCGTGATAGCACCCAGGTTTTCATCCTTGACGGGGATTGCCCGTCCTGACACTTACACTTCTCCGCGAGGCCTCGAAGTGACCCCTTTTCCCAAGAGTATTCTGCACCCGCGCTTCGAACAAATCCACTAGGGCTCATAAAACACAAGGGTGTGTGACGGGTGGCCAAGCCTAGTACCCGCCGCAATCAGGCGCTGCTGGGGTTGCTCTCGGGGGGGGCCAAGGCATTCGGAGGCTAACCAAATATTCAAATGCTGATCATTTGACAATTTACAGGCTGAGCTCTGACAAAGCGAGCAGGACCACCTAAATTTTGAATCCATAAGCTGGACGTTCGAAACTGCTTGGGCCTGGGCCAGGGCGCACTGTCTAGATCTTCTCAGGGCTCTTCTGACCTGTCTCGCCGAGGGGGGGCCGAAGCTTCACTGCCAAAAGCATCCAAGGTGGCTCTTAAAATCCTGTTTCTAATTCTAACACCTGTGGCGACAGCCCATTTATAACAACTAAATCTAGCTGGTGGGATGGCATGGTCACTGGCTGCTATCCCTACAAACTCATCTGCAACTGTGTTCCCCTGCCATGCTGCCAGGGGCACGCCTCTGGCCGGGGCCTCCTCCCAGGTCTGGTGGCTGCGCGTGAAGAAGACCTGCACGTCGGCCTCGCCTCTGTCAGCGAGGGCTGTCGCGATCTGTTCACACAGATCTCCGAGCACACTCCATCCCCCAGGCCGTCGGTGTCTGCCACGCCGCCAGCTCCTGCAGAAGATCTCTGAATCTGCCCAGAAGTGCATCGGGCCTTGCGTGCGCCACGGGGCCGACAACAGCGCCGTGATCTCTGCGCGGTCGTTGGTTTGCCGCGGCCCCGCCAGCGGGCCCTCAGCTCCTCCTCGAATCGACGGCCCCAGCGGCTGGGAGGTGCCCAGGGCGATCCAACTCCAGCCACAGCGCTGATATCTCTCGTCATCTGCATCTTTTCCGCCGCCGCCGTCGCCGCAGACTAGCAAGGGCTGCCCTTGGGCCGCGATGAGGCGCCTCTCCGAAGAGCGTCTCCGCGAAGACCGCGTCGCAGTCTGGCGGCGTGGCCCACGCCTTCGGCGGGGCCCCCATCAACCACATGCTTGGACAGAAGTGCTGCCCAAACACAGCCATGACTAGGATTTCCTGGGACTTCTCGAAGTCTGGGCGATCTGGCCTCGCACTGCACTCCCCCCAGATTCTGTGGATGTCGCCAGCGCGCTGGCCGCAGGAGCAAAGCCCATTGCCTGCGAGTTCTTCCCCAAAGAGGTCAGTCTTCCTCGCCGGCGCCCAGGCCCTTGCTGTCATGGCTGTTAAGAAGGCGATCGCGCCTGGCAATCTCTCGTTCCTCCTCAGCTTTGCCAGCGTCCTCTTTGCATCTGAAATGCCAACTCCATTCTCCATCCCTTTGCCGAGATAACCTCTGGATGCTGCCTCCCGCAATTCGAGTTCAATGTCCGACAAGATAGCCGCGATGATAATCGCAGGGTTACGCTCGGCATCCCCGGGCGTCATTTCCCCATCACCACCATTCGGGTCACTCCATCTCGCAGCCGCCTCGGGATCCAAGCCTGCTTCCCAAAAGTCAAAGTCAACGAGCCGATGAACCCACGCCTCTGCCTCCAGCGCTGCTGGAGTGGTGCTCTGCGTAGACGATCGCATATGTTCTGCCACACTCTGGAAATAACACAACGAAGGGCGGCACGATGCGCATACAAATCAAACCAAGCTCGCAGCTGAGCCTTCGGAATCTCCGGCGCTGGATCCTTGCCTCCGGGCTTCAAGAATGTCGTCGCGCATTTGCCTGGCCGAGGGCCAGCAAGCGCGGCAACGAACCTCTGGCGGGCACGGCGCGGCGCTGCAGGAGCTTCTCCATGGGCCCGCATATCATACATGAGTGCTGGCATTGATCCTTGACTCAAAATTGTCATCCTCGTCTCTCTTCTCAGCCTTTAACTTCTTACCCAATGATGTCATACGTTTTTGTAAGCCTTAGTTATCCTGTCCGCGCGTGCCGCTCGTCTCCTCACTCTGCGCGCAGCCCTGTCAATGCCCAGGTATCTGGCCTCTCGGGCCGCACGAATGAGCACGCCCTTTCGTTTGAGCCTGCCCGTGACGCGCTTGGCCTAGGCCCAATCGGAATCGGAGCTGATGGTCACGCTTTTGTCTGCCTGCTCGAGGCCCTCGTCATCGAAGGCGCTCTCGAGCGCGACGGTGGAGCTGACGATTGCGCCCTCCACCGCGCTCGCACTGCCGTATACCGCGGCGCTCACGTCGTCACACAGCGCCCCGGGGTTGGCCCGAGGGGCCTGGAGGGCCACCTTGGACAGCACCCTGTAGACCACAGCTCGGGCAAGATAGTTCGCATGTCTCGACCCTGCCAGGAGTGAGGCGACGGCCCGGCAGGGGTCGCCATTGGCCCCTTCTCCCCGAAGGAGCCGCGGTACTGCATGCATCTGTATTTCCAGTGCCAGCACGCGCATCGGGAACCCCAAGCAATCGCACGTCGCGGGCACCGTCGGAACCGCCAGGCTGTCGTAGAACCTTCTGATGTCCGCCAGTGAGACCGCCGACGCAATCGCCATCGCATCGGCCGCCCCGTCCTGCAGCGCCCTCGCGAGCGCCTCGCGAAGGCAAGAGGGGCCCTTGAGCGGGGCGCCCCAGTGCTGCGACGCCTCGCGCACCCAGAGCTCCACCGTCGGCCTTGCGAGCATCTGCCAGCAGCGGATCGGCCACGCGATCAGCGCCACGGCCCTGTCCCAAGACTTCTTGGGCTCCAGCATGACGATGGCCTGCAGCAGCTGGAATGGCCACGCCTGTCTCTGCTCCACGGGCCGCCGCAGGGAGGCGGCACACATCGCCCGCAACATGCCTGTCGACGCCTCTGCCCCTATGAGGCTGGAGGCGGGGGGCCCGGTCTAGATGGCGCCCAGACATGGCGGGGCCCCTGTCGAGCCTGCCCCCCGACTCGAGCCAAGGCGGCCACGGAGTCGCGAGACGAAATTCGTCTCGAGGGCTAAATCCCTTCGAAGACATACGTTTTAATGTCAATATTCTCTGGCGGCGAAGTGCCAGTCTCGCCACCGCGGACTACTTCATCTTCAAATCTGGGGCGGGGTTTCGCAACCCCATGCAACTTCCCGGGCTTGGCGAGGGATGGGTCCTAGAGCCAATCAGCCCACGCGCGCGACTCCGCGTCAAAATCACGCACGCTGGCTTCGGCGATTTCGTCGGATGCCTGGAGCGCCACGCGCAGGAGGGCAGGATGCTCGACCTCGGGAACGCACGAGAGCCGCCCAATCCAAACAGCACGGCGGAGGCGCGCCTTTCGGAGCGGGGCCCCCACCTCCCGACGGGACCCCCTTTGCGCAGGTCTCTGGGCTATGTTGCGAAGCACCCGCTGCTGCTGACGACCTTTCTTTTTCTCGGCCGACGCGCCGTAGAGTTCGAGCGCGTTCGCCACTCTCGACCACTAGCTGGCGCGGTAGCTCTGATATCGGGGCCCACGGACCCCTCGCTCCCTGACCTCCTGCTCCGTTTACTTGAACTTACGGCCCCCCCCGCGGAACCCCCTGGCGCCCTGATCGGGCACGGCGTAAGCCTCGATGCAGAGGTCACCCACCCTCTGCATGGGCTGACCGCACTCAGCGCCCAGAGCGACGGCGTCCGACGGGCTCGCACGAAGGGCAGGGCACCGTGCAATGCGATCAGGGGCGCAGTCTAGCTTGGGACGGGGGGACTATGATGCTTCAGCCCAGAGCTCTGCTCATCGAGGGCACCCGTGGCCAGGGCACCAGCGGCGGCGCCGTCCGCAGCGGGCGCCCCAAAATCTCTCGGCGAGCCAACAACCGCAGTAGACAGGTCCCCGCCAGGCCTGGGGAAAACCAACCGCACGAGACCTCGGGCTCTTGAGGGCCTGTAGGTTGGCTGCTGGGCTCCCCCTGCTCGAGCTCCAGCATCGGGCCGGCGTCGGCCTCGTCGAGGCCCGCAAGGTTCCCCCGCGGAAAATGCGGCCACACTGCGGGCCCTAAAGCTCCCCAACGTCGGCTTCGCAGCTCTCGCTCAGTTAGCTCCGCATCATCTGCTTTTTTGGAGGCGGTGGGGGCAGCAGCAGCGGCGGCAGCCGCCGAGGCCGAGGGCGAGGGCAGGGCGCATGTATCACGCAGGCGCCGTTGCCGCTTGCTGGTGGGATGGGCCTCCTTCTTGCGAGGCGGGTGGGCGAACGGAGCAGGCATGCCCAGCGATCTCGCAAGCGCGGGGATGACGGATGCTCGGAGCGTGAAAACCTGACCGACGCGGGGCTTCTGGGGGACTAAAACTGCTTCGAGGTTCCTGGAATAGGGGGTCGCTTCGGGGCTCATCAACACATTATCTATTAGGGAGAGCTGGCTACCCCTTCTGAGGCAAGTGCAACCTTCTTCCAGCCACGCTACGGTGCCATCCAACTTGGCTGGCCACCTCGACTTCCAGAACCGTTCGGGGGGGGGGGGGGGCATTGAAATCTCCTGCAACTATCCGAGGGTTCTTTACACTGCTCATGAAGGCCCCCATGGGGGCAAGCTTGGCAGCATTCTGACCAGCAAATCAGCTCGCACCCTCAAGGCACAGGCCCACTAGCGCGACGCTGACTCCCTTCGGGCGCCACGCGACGGGCATCCCATCTAAGAAAGAAAAAGTGGGGCCCCTCTTGCCCCGACTCACCTTTACGGCGCTCTGAGGCACAGCGTGGGCGATCCAATTCACGAAACATAATGCACTGGCGGCGCGCTCGCACAGCCGCGCGCGCATCACCTCGCGAGCCTCTCTGAGAGGTCTCGCTCTGGCGAGCGGCAGAGAAGGCGGTATTCAGGCCCCGGCCTCTCACCTCCTGCTCCAGATCTGCCAGTTGAGGTTGCTTGACGTGAGTCTCCTGCAGCATGACGGCATCGTAGCAGTCGATCGACTCACGGATGAATCTGCAGGCGGTGACTCCCCACCCTGCAATGTTCCCGATGGGAACCTGCCTCGTCGCGCGCTCCCACTCGGGAACAGCGCGCGAGCGCCCTGGGCGACCATGGCCCCGTCAGACAGGGGCGGGCGGCGCCCCAGCCGCCTCGCGCTGGGATCGCGCCGCCTCGATGGGGCCCCTGCTCCGCGATCTCTCTGGCCCGCTCCTTTTTTCTGCTCCTCCGCGCTGGCGGCGTCCGCGGCAGCTGGGGCGGCAGCTGCAGCGGCTGCGGCCGGGGCAGCAGGAGGCGGGCCGCCGCCCGTGCTGCTGGCACCCCTGGGGGCGGGGCCATCTCTTCCTCGTCGGACTGGGCGGTCTCGGGCTGCATCTGCTCAGCAGGCGGCTGCTCCCCATTCGACTCCGCCCGGATCGATGCTGCCTTATCTGCAGCTGCCCTCTGCCTAGCTGACTTCAGGTGCGCTTTGAGCTGGATCATGAATTCGGTGGTTCTGCCTTTGAAGTCGTTCAGCATATTCTCTTCGGCTTTATTCACCTCTGCGATGGCCTCTTCGTCGACCTCGCCCGCATTGATGTCAAGGGCCACGTCTATGTCTTTGAGCTTATCCTTCTCTAGGGCGTCGGGATCCAACGCGAGTACGTCGCGCAGGAGCGAAGGTTTCTTGCCGTCCTGGCTCTCGAGCCTGATGGCCTCTACCTCCGACGCTGCCTGTGCGACTGCGGCGGCATTCTCCTTCAGACCAGCCTCCAGCTTCTCGAGGCGCTGCTTGGCCTCCTCTCGCGCGCTGAAGGCCTTGTCGTAGGGCTTGTTCTTCCGATCCAACTCCCAGGCCGCGTTTGCCAATCTCGTGGCAGTACTGACCTTCGGCGGGGACGGTTTGGCCGCCTCGGCGATGGCGGGGACCACTTTGGCGAGCTGCTGGGACAGCTCTGGCTTGATGGTGTCCGCGCTGAGCTTCGCCGACACATCCTCACGGCCCTTCACGAGGCCGTCGTCCTTCGCCACGCTCTGCTTGTCTTTGCCCTTCCTGGCCATCTGGGCGCGACAGTCGCAGCGCCAGTCGTTGCTGGGCAACACTGAGTCGTGCTCCCAGCCTCCGCACTTCTTGCATGTCGTCCACTGGTGGGCCCCTTGGCTCTGGCTATACCAAGAGGCGCTCTGCTTGGACGTGGTGAGGAGGACGGGTCGCCTAAGCCCTTCGGGGAAACCCTACTCTCGCCCCCATTGACGCTGCCCCCGAGCTCCCGTTCCCTCCGGGCCAGCGACCGCGGAAGGCGTCTCGGGGTTCTACTGGCCCGGGCCGATGCAAGCCCAAGTCAGCCTCGGGCTTGGCAGGATCCTGCAGATCCTGCAGGATCCTGCGCGCTATCCTTTTTTCTTAGTTCGGAGAGCAAGTCCAGTGGTCAGCATGCACGCGCTAATCTGCCAGATCCTGCGCGCTATCCTAGATCAGTGCAACCCTGACTTTGCAGGATCCTGCAAAATCTGGCGCTCTGGCTGACCCCCGTTTGCAGTGGCCCCCGCCCCGGCGTGGGACAGAGAAAAGAAGAGGGGGAGATCAGAAAGCAGAGAAGGAGGAGGAATTTTGGAGTGGTCAAACGGAGGAACGGGGGGCAGCGAGCGAGCGACCGACAGGCGAATGCCAGTTGGATGACGGAGAGAGGGAGAATAGGGCGGCCAAGTCGGCCGAACGGAGCCGACACCCTCGAAGTGGACTCCTGCCCAACATGGACGCCTCAACAACTCAACTGCCAACGACGTGACATGCAGCTGAAGCAGAAAGCAGCACAACGGAGGAGAGCAGAAGGAGCGGAAAGGATGCGAATCCGGAAGGAGGGTTCGGTGGCAGCTCATGGGAGACTCCCATACCATCTTGTCGGCTCTTGCGAATCGACGCTGGTCCACGTCGAGTCGACGCTAATCGACGCTAAATCGACGCTTATCGACGCTAAATCGGTGCCATCTCATCGATTCCCAAACGCCAATCGACGCTAATCGACGCCACAGACGGAATTGAGAGGGTACACCAGGCTCCCATGATTTGCTACCGGAGGACTGCCTGGCACGGCGGGGCCCCTCCCACAGCGGTCCTCAGCCCGAGGCGCCCTAGAGCACTCTCTTGTAGATGACGACGTACTCGGGGTACGCCTGGCTGCGGCAGCCCGCCGGCGCGCTGAGGGGGGAAAGGAGACGAGGGAACGGGCGAGAGAGCAGAGAGCCCGTCTTATGCTGCATCCTCAAAAAAGACCTTGTCTGCCCCGTCGCGGCCGCATCCGCGTCGAATCCGCGTCGAATCCATGTCGGCCTCGTCGGGTCCGTGTCGAATCCATGTCGAATACGCGTCGAATACACGCCCAAATCCGCGTCGAGCCCGCGTCGGGCACAAGAGAAAACACCAATTTTGGGGACAGGCGAGGTCCCCCGAAGATGCAACGTAACCAGTCGAGGGAGGGGAGTGAGGGGACGGGGCAACGACAGAAGGGGAAACGGAGGGGCGGAGGGAAGGCAGGAGGGAAGGAGGGAAGGAAGAAAGAGGAAAGAGTGACGGGAAGGAGAGGGTAGAAGTCATGGGAAATCCCAGAGGAGAGGAGTAGAAGCGAGGGGGATGAAAAAAAACATAAAGTAGAGTGGGTGGCTGCGCCAATAATATTTTTATAAAGAAACAACAACAACAACAACAACAACAACAACAACAACAACAACAGCAACAACAGCAACAACAGCAACAACAACAACAACAACAACAACAACAACAGCAACAACAACAACAACAACAACAACAACAACAACAACAACAACAACAACAACAACAACAACAACAACAACAACAACAGCAACAACAATAACAGCAGCAACAACAACAACAACAACAGCAACAACAACAACAACATGAACAACATGAACAACAACAACAGCAAGAACAAGAACAACAACAGCAACCACAACCACAACCACAACCACAAAAACAACAACAACAGCAGCAACAACAACAACAACAACATCAACAACAACATCAACAACAACAACAACAGCAGCAACAACAACAACAACTACAACAATCAGTTTAAGACCGTTCGCCCTGATCTCCTCGAGTGTCGAATAACGCGAATTTCCCAAACCCTCGATACCCGCCCTTTTCGTCTTCGATCGAACCCCTTTTGGGGGGTATACCTTTCTTCCCTGCAGGCTGGGCCCCGGCAAGCGGCGGGGCGGCCGCGGACCGTCGGCCTGGCCAGCGGCAGCGCTGATCGGCGGGGCGGCCGCGGACCGTCGACCCGACCCCAAGAGGGACGGACAGGGGACCGACCACGACGACGACGACGACGACTTCGACGACGACGGCAACGACGGCGACGGCGACGACGACGACGAGCGAAAGGGAGAGCGAGAGAGAACGACAGCAGAGCCACGAAGGACACGAAGTAGGCCACGAAGGGCGACAGCGGGGACACGAAGGGAATGCGTATGGGGCCACGAAGAGCGCGAACGAGCGTGGGCCACGAAGGGCAGATAATGCGGGGCCACAGAAGGCAACGATGGGGCCACTGAGGGTAGCACCTGGGCCACGTAGGACAATGAGGGGGCCACAAACGGCGACAGCGGGGCCACGAAGGGCATGCACATGGGGCCACAACGGGCGCGAACGAGCGGGGGCCACGAAGGGCATACGTATGTTGGGCCGCGGAGGGTACGGACGGGGCCACTGAGGGCAGCAACGGGGACACGAAGGGCAGCGAGGGGGCCACGAAGGGCGACAGCGGGGCCACGAAGGGCATGCATATGGGGCCACCACGGGCGCGAACGAGCGGGGGCCACGAAGGGCATACATATATGGGGCCACGAAACAAAGCGAGGGGGCCACGAAAGGCTGCAACGGGGCCACGAAGGGCAGCGATGGGGCCACGAAGGGCTGCAACGGGGGCATGAAGGGCTGCAACGGGGCCACGAAGGGCAGCCAGGAGGCCGCGAAGGGCTGCAACGGGGCCACGAAACAAAGCGAGGGGGCAACGAAGGGCTGCAACGGGGCCACGAAGGGCAACGAGGAGGCCACGAGGGGCTGCAACGGGGCCACGAAACAAAGCGAGGGGCGACGAAGGGCTGCAACGGGGCCACGAAACAAAGCGAGGGGGCCACGAAGGGCTGAAACGGGGCCACGAAGGGCAGCAAGATCCCGATTCCTAAGTAATCTGTGAAGGAATCCTCAGCGTGAGCGCGACTCCTGGGTGCTTGGGTGTCGGGAGCGCGGCGCTGGAGCAAATTGCAAGAAAATCCTACGCAAGGGCGCTTTTCTTCAGCAAATTTCTAACAAGTCTCCAGCGAGAGCGCGACTCCAGAGTCCCTGAGCGCAGGAGGAGCGATTCCTTAATAAATCGTAAGGAAATCCCAAGCGAGAGCGCGATTCCTGAACAAAATGCGCGGAAGTCTCGGGCGGGAGCAGGGGTCCTGGCTAAAGTGTGAAGAAGTCTCAGGCGGGAGCCGTTATTGTTGTAACCCGGGGGCCAGGGGGTCAGTTTGAGCAGGAAGACTTTCCTTGACAAAAAACAAGGTGCGAGCCCCGGGGGGGCACTTCAATCGGAAAAAAACAATGTGCACCGGTGGGGGGGGGATGAACAAAACTTATTCGTCAAGAATGAGAATTCAACAACAACAACAACAACAACAACAACAACAACAACAACAACAACAACAACAACAACAATAATAATAATAATAATAATATAATAATTTTAAGACCGTTCACCCTTATATGCTCGAGTGTCCAATAACGCGTATTTCCCAAACCCTCGATACCCGCTTTGTCTTCGATCGAACCCCTTTGGGGGGTATACCCTTCTTCCCTGCAGGCCAGGCCCCGGCAAGCGGCGGGGCGGCCGCGGACCGTCGGCCTGGCCAGCGGCAGCGCTGATCGGCGGGGCGGCCGCGAACCTTCGACCCGACCCCAACAAGAACGGACAGGGGACCGACCACGACGACGACGATGACGACGACGACGACGACGACGACGACGACGACGACGACGACGTCGAAGACGACGGCGACGACGACGACGACGGCGACGACGAGCGAAAGCGAGAGCGAAAGAGAACGACAGCAGGGCCACGAAGGGCACGAAGTAGGCCACGAAGGGCGACAGCGGGGACACGAAGGGAATGCGTATGGGGCCACGAAGAGCGCGAACGAGCGGGGGCCACGAAGTGCAGATAATGCGGGGCCACAGAAGGCAACTATGGGGCCACTGAGGGTAGCAACTGGGCCACGTAGGACGGTGAGGGGGACACAAATGGCGACAGCGGGGCCACGAAGGGCATGCACATGGGGCCACAACGGGCGCGACTCCTGGGTGCCTGGGTGTCGGGAGCGCGGCGCTTAGGCAAATGGCACGAAATTCCAACGCAAGGACAGTCTTCAGTAAGTTTCAAGCACGTCTCCAGCGAGAGCGCGACTCCAGAGCGCCAGGAGAGCGATTCCTGAATAAATTGTATGGAAGTCCCAAGCGAGAGCGCGATTCCTGAATAAAATGCGAGGACGTCTCGGGCGGAAGCGGGGGTCCTGGTTAAAGTGTAAGGAAGTCTCAGGCGGGTGACGTTGTTGCTGTAACCCGGGGGCCAGGGGCCCAGTTTGAGCATCAAGACTTTCCCTGCCAAAAAACAGGGTGCGAGCGTCGAGGGGCACACTTTGATAAAGAAAAATGGTATTCACCGTTGGGGGGGATCAACATCAATTATCCTTCAGAAATGAGAATTCAACAACAACAACAACAACAACAACAATCACTTTACCCGAACGTTCAGTGTTCTCACCAGTGCCAGGGTTTTCATGCGACGCCAGCCAATACCCCCACTTTGTGGGGGGGCAGTGCAAGCTCTACCAAATAACCCCACGACTCTTCGCCACCACCCACACCCAGCTTCCCGCCCTATGACGTTCGGACACTTCACTTCGTGGCCTGCGGACGACCGTGGCTACTACACTGGCGTGGAGTACACACCCACAGAAGTTGTTAAGCCTACGTTCGTACACCCACAGAAGTTGTTAAGCCTTGTTAACCCACAGAAGTTGTTAAGGCTTCCACAGAACATATGTTGCATATGATGCATATGGTACATGATACACATGATACACATGATACACATGATACACATGATACACATGATACAAACCATTGGTTTTTTTTAGGATTCGGACAGCGCGCGCGGGTAGAAATTTTGAAAAGTCGTGCAGGTGTTTTTCGAGGACCTACGGTGCGATTCGTGTGATTTTATGATGCGCGGTGCTAAAATTCTTAAGAAGCCCAATGGTTTTTGGAGATTTCGGCGTGCGCGCGCGAAGAAAAAACGAATGTGTCCCGCATGGTATTATTTGACAGGGATGATGGCCCTGGCAGGTGCGCAACCGTTGTCGCAGAAGTTCGAAAAAGTTGCTCGCAAAAGCCCGTTTGACAGAAATGTTTAAAAAGTGTTGGGTTTCCTACGAATCCGCAAGAGCGCGCGGGATGAGATTTTGACAATTTTTTGTTGAAAAACCATTGTTTTTTTGATGTTTTTATGTTAAAATCGCTGCGAACACTAAGGTTTTGGAAGGATTTCGTCTTGCGCGCGCGAATGTCCACTTTACCTTATTTTTTTGCAAGGGATTCTTGAAATTTGATTATATTAGAACAAGAAATGTCATTTTCTATTGTTTTTTGCAAGGGAAAGCGGATTACAACAAAACAACCGGATCCTGTACACACCCTCTTTTCTGAGGCTTCCTCACGAAAATGATGAAAATGTAGCTGCGGCCTAGGCGGCGCAGGGGGGGCGCGCACCAGGGGGCCCAACAATAATTATTCTTTAGAATAAATAATGTTCAACAACAACAACAAGGTCGACACGTGCACTGCCCACCCGTCCACGGCCCGACAGTCCACGCCTTCACCCACTGGGCGAACACGTGGACGACCCGTGGACCCACTACCCCCCCAAAACACCAACATTTACACCAACACCAGTGCCATGAAATCTTTGAGGGATCCTATAGGATCTCTACGGAAACCTCTAGGCTCCATATGGAATCCTACAGGATCCCTATGGTCACCGTGGCTCTGAGACCACCCTTACGCACCTCCACGTATTCCTGCGACTGGAAGCGATGTGCGCACCGGCGAAGCGACCTTCGGGCATCTATCGGAATCCATGCGGAATCCCTAGGGAATCCCTAGGGAATCCCTAAGGAATCCCTGTGGATTCTTAGGATCCTATACAGACCCTACACGCACTGTATGGAATACCATACAAAATCCACACGGCCTGTACGGGATCCGATACAGAGCCTACAC